GTGTCTTATAATTTTCTGCATACAGGTCTTTTGTCTCCTTAGGTAGGTTTATTCCTAGATATTTTATTCTTTTTGTTGCAATGGTAAATGGGAGTGTTTTCTTAATTTCACTTTCAGATTTTTCATCGTTAGTGTATAGGAATGCCAGAGATTTCTGTGAATTAATTTTGTATCCTGCTACTTTACCAAAACATTAATTAGCTCTAGTAGTTTTCTGGTAGCATCTTTAGGGTCCTCTATGTATAGTACCATGTCATCTGCAAACAGTGACAGCTTTACTTTTTCTTTTTCAATTTGGATTCCTCTTATTTCTTTTCCTTCTCTGATTGCCTTGGCTAAAACTTCCAAAACAATGTTGAATAATAGTGGTGAGAGTGGCAACGTTGTCTTGTTTCTGATGTTAGTGGAAATGGTTTCAGTTTTTCACCATTGAGGATGATATTGGCTGTGGGTTTGTCATATATGGCCTTTATTATGCTGAGGTAAGTTCCCTCTATGCCTACTTTCTGGTGGGTTTTTATCATAAATCGGTGTTGAATTATGTCAAAAGGTTCCTCTGCATGTATTGAAATGACCATTGGGTTTTTCTCCTTCAATTTGTTAATATGGTGCATCACATTGATTGATTTGCATATATTGAAGAATCCTTGCATTTCTGGGATAAACCCCACTTGATCATGGTGTATGATCTTTTTAATGTGCTGTTGGATTCTGTTTGCTAGGTTTTTGTTGAGGATTTTTGCTTCCATGTTCATCAGTGACATTGGCCTGTAGTTTTCTTTTTTGTGACATCTTTGTCTGGTTTTGGTATCAGGGTGATGTTGGCCTCGTAGAATGAGTTTGGGAGTGTTCCTCCCTCTGCTATACACTTGATATTTTGGATTCACTTGTCTTTCAGCATCTATGTAGCACTTTGAGATATCTGTATCGGTTTTACAGGCGCAGAATAAGAGTTTAATAATTGTTTGAGGAATTGACTTGAAAGTTAGCTATTGTATTTATTTATTTATTTATTACACTCATGGCTAAATTTATTTATCCTTATTACATCATCCTTCTTGCCAGGCTTCTTCTTTTTTTAATTGAAGTATAGTTGATTTACAAGATTGTGTTAGCTTCAAGTGTACAGCAAAGTGATTCAGTTTCTTTTTCAGTTCTTTTTCAGTTTCTTTTCCAATATAGGTTATTATAAGATATTGATTATAATTCCCTGTGCTATACAGTAAGATCTTGTTGTTCATCTATTTTATACATAGTAGTGTGTATATGTTAATCCCACCCTCCTAACTTATCCCTCTCATTAGAACAATGCAAATTCATGTGTACAACTCAGAGGGCTTATGCTAACAATGGCACATTGGTAAGAGAGCAATATGCATGTGTCTTGAATATTATAAAGTGTTATTCAGATGTTAGTTATTTCTATACATGGAAATGTGTTTTCACAGCTAGTTCTCATATCTCACACAGATTGGCCCTGCTGCTTCCCAGGTTCACATGGTATAAGCTTTGCTGCCAAGGCCCATAACATACTTTCACTGTGCACCCCACAGGCTCTAAGGTCTAAAGTGTGTGACTGATGGTGCCAGTCTTTTAGGAGGAAAGGCATGATAAGATTATGGGCATATGTGTCCCCTGAAGATAGTAATTGTGTGGCTGCACCACACTGACTCCATTTTGTCAGCTCCATCTTAGGCCCGCAGTCCTACCCACTCCCCTCTCTGCATGACTGACCTTTAGCCTACTCACTAGGAATGCACCCAAGCCAGATAAGTTCCCTATCAACTTTTACCCTTGCCTTCATCTGATATGAAAACTAGCAGAATACCTTCTGCTGACATAGATGGGTAATGGTAATGAGACCCCTGGTGTGGGGGAGGAAAAAAGCCTGGTTCCCATAGTTGCAGCCATGCTTCTCCCTTGGTAGCCAGATTCTCTTTTTAGCTTTGGCCCTTTAAACTCCCCCATGCCCCTTTCGGGGGCACAGAGTGCAGCTGTGAATACCTCTGGATCATTGTCCACCTGATCCTGCCTGTATGTAAGTTACCCCCAATAAACTTCATAATTGTACTTTATGGAGTTGCCTGCTTCACTTTTCGGTCTTAAAGTTCCTTCTCAGTTCAGAGGATATTACTCAATATCCCCGCCTCCCAACAGTAATAAAGCCCAATAGCAAAAGCTTCAGAGAAGGAGCATCTCCATTCTGGGATAAATATTTTGGAGGGTCCAGAGTCAATTGATTTTGTACTAAAAGATTTCTCAGAGACAGAGTCTCATGGATTTAGATGGAATGTTCTGGGGAGTACCCAACCCTACAGCTGCCCACCTCGCCCTATCCCAGGAAGTAGCAATCAATTCTGTAATGCTAAGGACTATGACCTTGTGAGGTGCAGGGATGAGGGGGCTAGCTGAAAGAGCACTCAAGGTTGACCTAGTCTCTCAGGACTGTGACAGCTCCCAGAGGGGCATTATTCTGTACCATCCCCATCCTCTGGCCTGCTCTGGGAGTCAGCTTCTCAGCAGGAGTAAGAGCAGTGCTGGCAAGAGAAAGTATAAGAGAATGAGCTTCAGCACTACCCTGCTCTGCTTGGTTATTTCTGGAGGAAGTACTCATACAAACCTGACTGGGAATTGCCTCCAGTTTTATTCCCAGAACCAGGTTCTAGAAGGTGTGCGTCTAAGAATATACAGGAGACAAAATCCTGAAACTAGAAAGGAAATGATTCCCTTCATCCTTCCCCTCCCCCGCAACTCCACTTCCTAACTCTCCCAGTCCCCAGCCTATAAGTGCATGTGAACACATGCTCGGTTTTCATCCTAAGCTTTTTAGGACTTGACCCTTCTCTAGAGTGAACTGAGTGGTGCCCCTTGTTAAGGAATGTTTGTGAGAACGCATGCTTGATATGAACCCAGCCATAGCCCATAAAATATTCTTGAAACGACTAACATATTAAAATAATTTCACAAAGGACCTAAGAGAACTTAGAGGTTTACATCATGATCAAGAGTATAAAGTCTGGAGCCTGAGTGCCCAAGACTGAATCTGGCTCTGACACTCTCTGTGACCTCAGGCAGGTCACTTCCCTTTTCTATGCCTTAGAATCCTCATCTGTAAAATGCGGAATAACATTACCTACCCTTATTAGAGTTGTTTTGAGGATTGAATGAAATAATGCATATATAGGACTATGCCACACATATCATAAGTGCTCATAAATATTAGCTAGTATTTAATTATCTGACAGTGCCTCATGGTTCTATGCCCATAGTCTTTAAGGCATTTGTGGCGCAAATGAAATTGACGACCATTAGTTTATTTAATACGTTTCCTTAATATGTTCATTTGCCCATACTTAGCCTACTGACTTTCCAATGACATGAGGATAGTTGTTGTTACAATGGCCTAGCATTTACACCCAAACTTTGTGATTCTGCACTCCTTTTCCAAGACCCATTTGCTGGCCCCATCTCTGCCTCCTCTCCCACTCCGTTAGACTTGCCCCTACAAAAGTACCCTGTGTTACTTTAAGATTTGAGGATAAAAAGAGAGTAGTCAATTAAAGAAGTGTTTGCGGGTGGAAGGGAGCACTTTCCTCTGCTCTACCCCCCGTAATCCACAATTTCTTCATCTCCTGTGTATTTATGAGATTGCTGTGGAACAGAAAGGCTACCACCTATAGGAGGTTCTGAAGGTTCATTTGTATAATGTGTCACTAGTATCTCTTCTCTGTAGGTAAGGGCAGCAGGTTTTTGAGGTGGAACTTGCTCCACACTCTTTACCCTAAACTCGCTGCATTCCTGGGATATAAAGTCACTGAGGCTGGAGAGGATACATGGGGGGAAATATGCCTGGTCCGGCATGAGGCACATTTTTCTGCCCTGTGTATCTCCACTCCAGCTCTAATTGGCTTGCCTTGCTCACTGTGTGTCTCTGTGTTCTCATAGAATCTGACCCTTAAGTAGCTGAGTCACATGGCTTTTATGGACCAAATTATAGTTCCACACTGCTCTTGCTCTTAATGGAAGGCATATTAACCATTAGGGAGAAATTCTTACTTGAATTCCAAAGAGGCAGTGTGTTCTTCTGGAGGTTTGGTAGATTATTTCTTTCAAATTCACCTTGAATAACAGTCAGAGGACAGCAGTGTGTGCTTCTTATGACAACAACCTACATCTCCATCATGAAAGATGAGGATTAGGAATGTGGGAGTTAGGTTGAAAAAGGAAATCTCCACTTCTCCAAAGCAAGTCACTTCACTCTCCCCCAAATTAAGTATGCAATCCTTTTAGCCCCAAACAGTGGTTGAAGATGGAAAAACCACACTAGACATATCAGCAAATAGGACAATTCTGGCTCATAGCCCTGCTACTTAGAAGAGGGAGCTCTTCCAACATAATGTCCTGACACTGTATAAGAGGAGGGGAAATGGCTAAAGATAAGTTCTTAACATGATCCCAAGAGTAAAACTGGATGAGAATGAAAAGCCTTAGGTTAGATTGTTCACAGTTCTTCACAGCACTGTGGTGGGCACAACTGTACATGCTACTAGGAGTTCTTCTCACTTTCCTTGTCTGTGAGGGGCAAGCATTAGTTAGGTAGATGTTGGGATACTCGACCCCAATACGCAGTGGCCATAGTAACTTCAATTCCTTGGTGACTTTAGAGGCATACAGCTGACTTTCTCATCAAAATACCCAACTCATATAAGATATAAACATTAAGATACATAAGGAAGGGAGAATTGCATTCATCCACTGGGGGTGTGGGAGTGAGCAGGTGGTTGATAAGCATATGCTCCTTATTAGAAAATAAAATCCTGTGGGCAGAAAGCAGTACTGATGATGATTTAATGTGATCTCGTTTCCCTCCTCTGCCTTCACTCTACCTTGGAGTGTTAGCCACTCTCCCAACCCCAAACAACATAAAGGCGATGTCCTAACTATTATTACCTCTCTCTCCCCTAAAAAACAAATCAACAAAATACTCAGGATAGTAGGAAACACAAAGCAATCTTCATTTCTTCCACACATTAGAAACATTTTCAATTACAGTTCAGCTTCTCTGAGATCTACATCAATGTTGGTCAACGAGCACAGAAAAGCCAGGTTGGATGGAATCCCTGATAAGGAGGCATGAAGTGAGAGCTTTGATTCAACCACTCCACTCAGCACAGTGGAGGCCCATGCAGGTCCCTGAGATAGTCATTCTGCTTTATGCCTTGAAGGAAACCCACTCTGTACTCCCTCCTCAGAGTGTGCCTTTGAAGGGCCACTGAAAGGAAAGGTCCTTGATGAATGATCACTAGTAAAGTCCTAATGGAGAGCTAACTCATTTAAGAAGCAGCTCTTTTAATAGTGGGGGTTTTCCTCTTAATCAGTGTTTCTCACTGGAATTAAAAGACCCCAGCCACATTCACAGTTACAGGTTTCACATAAGTCAGACTTTTTCCCGGGCGGTACCCATAGCTGATAAGCAGGTACATCCTCTGATCATTCAGGATATATTCTGGTGGGATTCTGGGCCATTCAGTTCAGCCCACAGAAACCGCAGTAATGCTCAAGCGAATGAGCAGAGCTTAAAGGTCACAGAGAGCCTTAGGTGCATGGAGGTAAGTTATCTCATAGGGCAGCCAGACAGCTGACCTGGGTGGGGGGAATGTGAATGATATCTCTGACCCTCCCAGGTACACAGTGGTTACCTTGGTGTCCAAACATAGTAGTCAATCTTAAGGAAATAAAATCTGTTTGGGGCCTGCTCTTTCTTCTGATAGGCTTTCAGAAAACTCAAAACAATGTCCTGGTGGGTACTCACCCATGAGCCTCATTGTCTCCTTCAATTTCACAGTTGCTCTTGGCAACCCCAACCCATCCCAAAATACCCAAAAGACAGACTCAGACAATGCTTTGCCTTGCTTCAGCATCAATGGATGGCTCTGAGTTCTCAACCCTGCCCCGAGGGTGCTGGTAGCAGCAGACACAGTGGAGATAGTCCACTACATTGTGGGTGAAGAGTGAGCGCAACGGGTGCAAGTACTGGAAGAAAAGGAGCATGAAGCCAATGGAAATCAGATAAGCAATAATGAGCTGCAAGGCAATCAAGGAATGACAGTAATTCAGTAACACTTTCACTCCAAAGAACTTAAAAACCAAGACCATGATCACATTCTCTAACAATCTCACACTATAGTGCAGGCCCATGTGTCCCCAGTTCTGACCTTTCTCAACAAGGTCTCTGTCTGCTAACTTCAACTGCAAAGCTGACCAGCAAGAGAAGTTGATGCCAGCATAGAGGACGGTAATGGAAATCAACACCACTAAGGTGCCAAGCCGGCTGAAATTTTTCTCAATGTTATTGGGCATATGGGCACCACTCCTCCAGAACTTAACCCAAGGCTCAAAGAGGATGATCAGGAAGTTCAGCAATAAGAAGGGCACAGCCTTCAATTTCAAGGTGGCTGAGAAGAGCACGAGAATCATGAGGCGGGAGGTGATCTCCAATGTCCGCCAAATGGTGATGCACAGGACTTCTAGTGGACCAAGGCGAATCTTGTATTCATCGTACTTGATCTGGATAGCCAACATATTGCAGAGGGTAGCCCCATAGGTGACAGATATCAGGGAAAAGACTATTAGCACAGCTGTAAGAAAATAAAAGAAACAGAAGAAAATAGATAATCAGTCAATGTTGGTGAAGCTTGTACTCTGACCCAGAGTACAGAGAGATGATAGGTGAGACTCAAGGGCCCAAGTCAAGAGCAAACCTACGAATGAACAGAGCTATGTAAACAAACAGCATACACAGAAAGAAAATGGAAATAAACTAAATTATTTTGTGTGACAGGGATTGGGGCCGTTTTTAATTTTTTCTACATTTCTCTAGTTTCGAAATTTCCAATGAAATAAGAAATGAACATATACTGGTAATATTTTAATAATCATATAAACATACAAAATAAACTAAAAAAACAGTGGGCCTCAGAACCATCACTGAGGGGTCACTAGCATTGAGAGGTCACTAACACAAGAAGAGTACATATAAAGGGATGGGCAGCATCTACCTGATGAAACAAGCTTCTGAGAAAACAGTGCTGGAGGCAGAGAGAACTTGACCTGAAAATAATCCAGTCTTAGGAGATTCAGAGAGAATGCCTTTGGTTATAGAAGTCCCTGCTTTGATGAACATCTTCAAGGAACTAATCTTGTTTGTGTATGCTTCTAGAACATAAAATATATACTGGAAATTCCATGAGAGCAGAAGGGACCATGTCTATTTTGTTCACTGCTGTATCACGAGAGCCTAGCACACTGACTGGAGCATAGTAGGTGCTCAACAAATGTTTGTGGAATTAATGAAGAATTCTGAGTTTAGAGAGGCACCATAACATACCTACGATTAGAAGTGCTTGGTTCAG